TAAAATCACTATCATAAGAAACGCTTCGATGCAAATCTGTAGATAGTGTTTAATTCTAAGAAATTGGTGGATTATTCCAAAAACATAATTAGCTCCTATTTTTTGTTCTACTTCGACTGTCATTTGCACATAGAATATAGGTCATCAGTATAAATATTTTTTCTATCTTATAGTACATAATGTAAGGTTTAATTTAACATATGTTTAAAGAACACAGTATTTCCGGAACATTTTCAAAAGTTAAGTTGAAAAAGTTCTACTTTTTATACGTATGTTTCAAGTTTTGAACGCACCCTATATAAGGGGAAATTGCCTGATTTAAATAACAAATATATCGGATGAAAGGGGTAGATATAATGTATTTAAAAACAAAAATTTTTGCTGATATTTACATTTTTCAAAAACTTATAGCAATTTAAGTTCGAATTAAAAATTTTCGATTTTTAAATCAAAAATTTTAACACAAAAATAGCATTTTATTAACTACGGCAGCCATTTGTACGTAGAAGATAAGTCATCAGAACAAAATTTATTTTTATTTTTAGTATGTAACCTAAGCTTTAATTTTAAGTTGAAAAAAATGACTTTTGTAAAAAAGTTGCTATTTTGAATCCTGCCTGAGGACAAGTAAAGAGTTAAATTTTCAAACATATTATATCAAACAAAAGGAAATTACTTAATGTTTCAATATAAAAAAAAAAATTATTTTGATTTGTTTATTTATCAATGAGTTTTGGCAATTTTTAGAAAGAAAAGTGAAAAAAATGTCAAAGTTTACAGATTTTCAAAATTTTAATTTTAAATTTTTAAAATTTTTGGGGGATATGCGTTATTTACAGGGAATGGCCGAATTTTTTTCAATTTTCAAGGCCACGTCTTCAACTAGATACTATTTGTGATCTTTTGACGTATCATTGAAAGAAATCGGACCAGTGAGAGCTGAGAAAAAGTGGCAACAGACACAAAAAAAAATATACGTTAAAATTAATACCTTCTCTGCTTCCCATCGAAGCTAAATATTCTAATTTTTTTTTGAATACACAAATAATAAAGAGAAACATCCAATAAATTGATTGCGAATCCGAAATCATAAATTATATGCGACCGCGAGATTTGTTGGATATAATTTTGCGAATATTTGTGATGATTTATAAAACATGGTTTAAATTTTTTTAGTTTTGATGCGATGCTGAGAAGGTATTTTTTTACTATGATGTGTTTTTTTTTATATTTTCATTTCTAAAATATTACTAAAATATATTTGTAATTACAGTATGAGTATAAGTTAATAAATATTAATAAATCAATACACATTCGTCAATACACATCATATTATAAATATTTCAATTTTCTTTACCCATTCAAAAATTTTAATTAAATATAACTTTTAATACTAATATAAATTTGTTGTAAAACATAATGAAACTTTTATTTTAGAGGTTAATATAGGTGTTCCACATCTGTCACAATGTTTATAATTTATGGTTAAACTATGTTAAAAGCATATGTTTTCTTATTTATCACTAATATGAAAAAAATTAATTTTTATTCATTAATTTTTACTCATGATAATTGGATAACCTATATATATATATATATATTAGGGTGTCCCTTATTTTGAAAATTTTGGAAATTCTTCGGGCTCACCCCCCAAACTTTTGTGTATACATATAAAAAGTGGCTACAAAAAATTTCAGGCCGATCAGATAAGTTTAACCCGTGCCGACTTGGGGTTGAAAATCGGCCAAAAGTGGTACTTTATTAGTTTTTAGCAATTAACTCGTAAATTAGCGCTCTCACAAAAAAAAATGTTATAACTAAATTGTATATCTAACTGTTTTGTATAGATTAAGTCCTTAAAGTTTTTATTTTAAATCCATTAGTTTTCTAGAAAAATGTCAAATTAAATAATATTTCATAAAATTGCCGAAATTAGCATATTTACAAATATTTCATCATATATGACGAACCATATGTGATACGACTTAATGTTTCATACAAAAATTATTTAAAATTAAATTTTACGAAATAAAAGTAATAAGTACAAATTTCATTGAAGCGATCGTTTTATTGCTATAGTTGAAATAACTCGATCATATTACGATTCTTACTAAATATATGAATTTTATTGTTAGATTCTGTCAGTTATCATCTGGTACATTACAACACTTATCGTACAAGTACGGCGATAATACTATGGTATGACTGGATTAATGTATTGTTATTATTTTTAAATTATAAATAACTCTGGAAATCATAAATTTATTATAAATCGCAGCAATAGGTATAGTGAACTCATACTTATACCACTTTAGTCGCTCTAGTCGCGTATTAAGTTGAACTGCTTCCTATTGTGTTTTTCTTTTAATGTACGTAAAAATGTCCGTAGTATTACGAAATGACAATAAAATATTTTTAACCGCTCTTTCTGCAGAGTCATTTATTACTTTAAGTGAACATACAATTTCTTTTCCGTGTAAATACAATAAAAATCATCAGTATTCCACTTACTTGGATCCAAATTTAAAAAATTAGTATTGATATCGAATCGTTTAAATAATTTCATACTGTTTTTTGACAAAAAGAAGCTACAGATGTTTCTAAAAAAAAATCAATCACTCAATAGTCATCAAAAAGTAAAGATATCAAAAATTATTATACCTGAAAATGATTTGTCTATATCACTTGATGAAAGAATAAAACGTTTGCTAGGGTTTATTATTGACTCATTATTAAGGGATACAACCATTAATTTTTTTATTCAGTTGAAATGTAATCGTCAAAAAATGTTAGAGCAGCTGTTTCCTCTATTAAGTACCATAAATTATTACAAATTTTGTTTAACGCTGCTTTCGGTTGTTCTTTTCCGTATAACTTTAATTCTTTGATAAAATTTAAGTCGTTATTCGGAGCTTTGGACGGTTCAGTACAGTTAAACCAGGCTTTTAAATAAAATCGAATAATAAAAATACATATATCTCGAATAGCATTTATTTCAAAAGTTTTTAGTAAATACTGTTTTCGGTATAAATAAATCTTTAAGCAATATATTGCTCTACTCATCCAACGAGTTTGATGGCTCCAGGAGGGTGTATATAATTTTTTTTATCTGAGTCACCATTTAAAAAAATTATAGATGCAATTCTCTATAATCATCTCTAAAACATCCGATTCGCAACATTTCCCTAGAAAACTGGAGAATATCATTTCAATAATTTTCAAGTGCAGAGCAACATTCGACGTCATCTATTCCACACATCGTATTAGAAACATCAATATTATTCCAATTTTTTTTTAAATTTTTAAATATGGGAATATCAGGGCTTAATGTTACCTGAGGCAGTTTTGTTTCGAAAACACCTCGTAAAATCAGTTCATATATTAGGTGGCGACAAGGTAAATACAATAGATCTTTCTCTAATTTTTGCTCTAGTAAAATACACGAACCCTTTAAACATCCCATATTAGATGTTGTGGTATCGCAGCGTAGAGCTTGGACAATATTTAATAAGCCCCAATCGTCTAACGCACAATAAACAGCATTAGTTTGTTCATACCCCGTCGAAATTTTCAGTTTCGGTATATCAATTAATAAATCTAGATTTTTACTAGTTATCATAATTGGTAACCTATGAATGCCCGAGTCTCTGATAATTATATCATCTGATAAATAAGGTATAATTTGCGTAGTATATAAAGTAGATGGACCGGCTTGGTATTCATTAAGCCTTTCTGTTTCCCTAATCTTACGCTTTTTAGATCTCTCTTCTTTCTTTTATAATTTTTGGTCGATGCCACCTAGACAACCATTCGACCAGGAAGTCTGGTTCATTAAAAATTGTTTATCGGTAACTACCTTAATCAAATTTAAAGTATCGGCGTGAGCGATATCAAACAAATTATCAAAATTATTAATAAACTCAGTTTCTTTTGCTCTAAACGTTTCTCCAATTTTGTGAGAATTCTTTTGTAAAATACGCCTTATAAATTTACGATTTCCAGAGTTATTTATAATTTAAAAATAATAACAATACATTAATCCAGTCATACCATAGTATTATCGCCGTACTTGTACGATAAGTGTTGTAATGTACCAGATGATAACTGACAGAATCTAACAATAAAATTCATATATTTAGTAAAAATCGTAATATGATCGAGTTATTTCAACTATAGCAATAAAACGATCGCTTCAATGAAATTTGTACTTATTACTTTTATTTCGTAAAATTTAATTTTAAATAATTTTTGTATGAAACATTAAGTCGTATCACATATGGTTCGTCATATATGATGAAATATTTGTAAATATGCTAATTTCGGCAATTTTATGAAATATTATTTAATTTGACATTTTTCTAGAAAACTAATGGATTTAAAATAAAAACTTTAAGGACTTAATCTATACAAAACAGTTAGATATACAATTTAGTTATAACATTTTTTTTTGTGAGAGCGCTAATTTACGAGTTAATTGCTAAAAACTAATAAAGTACCACTTTTGGCCGATTTTCAACCCCAAGTCGGCACGGGTTAAACTTATCTGATCGGCCTGAAATTTTTTGTAGCCACTTTTTATATGTATACACAAAAGTTTGGGGGGTGAGCCCGAAGAATTTCCAAAATTTTCAAAATAAGGGACACCCTAATATATATATAGATAAAAATGGTTGATATTTAGAGTATAATTTAAGGATTTTACTTAACTATGCATTTAAAATTCTATGCTAGCTAACACAGAGACGAAGAGATATATCCCCTCCCGATTTTAATTATCTGGTTTTCTATACTCCGTTAATTGTTTTTTTAAGGCTATTTATTACTTATATATTAATTAATTAATTAATGAATCTATCTAATAAACCTAAGAATTATCATCTTTAAATTATCAATACATTTTTTATATTTTAATAATTATAAAACTACAATATCACACAAAGAAAAAAATAAAAATAGGTTTTAACTAACTAATATTTTCAAGAAGTATTTTTGTAACTTACTCTTATTTAAAATTTTAATAATTTTCAGATGCTCAACTTTTTTTTCTTAACTACGCAAAACAGTTTTTCAATTGCACAAACAATATTCAACGATAATTTAAATTATAGCTATTTGCTTTATATAAAAAAAATCTTTATTATATAAAAAAAATGGGAAATTTTAAAACTCTATAAATAAGTTATATCATCATCATTAAAATTATAATATGTTTGAACCAGTATTTCGGAAATTATTGACATTTTTATACCTAGGCGGATGGATAAGTACGGCCGGGAAATTACTATTGATAAAAAAAACAAACCCATATCTCACCTCCAACCAACGCTATAAAATGTTTATAACTTTTGGAATATTAGTCCAAAAATTGTTATCGGATTAGTCATTTTCTTAACTAGACCATTATCTATTAATTAATTATATTAATTATGTATGTTGTTATTTGAAAAAATAAAGATAATAAGGTAAAAGGGATGAACATAAAAATACTTTACGATTAATAAAGTGAGAAAAACAGGTACCTAAAATTATAACTTTATCAATAGATATACTTTCTGTATTGCCAGTTGGTGTATTTATGATCTCACATAAATATGTTTTACTACCATTGATAATAAATGCTGCGTATCTGCGAATATGAAAAAACAAATATCACAAAAAACAATTAGCTACCTGTATTTGAAATTCTTCTTGTATTATACATGTGAAGAGTGAATGTGTCAAACGTTCTATGTGCCAAAAAATTGAAAAATTGTTTTATTTCTGATTTATGTTCTATGAGCCAAAGGTCACAATCTTGTATGTGTTTCAAGTGTCAATTAAATTTTTTACTTGTACAAAATTGCGTTCATAGATTGTATTTGTTCTGTGAGACATGCCCTTTGTTACCTGTACGTTCTAAGTGCCTTGGGCGAATATAATAGTTTGACGATTACAATATTATAATATAGTTCGTTATATTTCAAAATAACTAATACTGGTGTTGTTGTATTCGTTAAGTTTTCTTTTTCATTTTTTTAATTGTGTTATTATGGATACTGAAAGTATACATATTTTACGAAGTGGTAAAAGTGGCCAACGAAGTGGCCTATGTTACCATTGTTTTTTGTGTTTTCTGAACAAATATGTTTTTGGCACATAGAACGTTTGACACATTCACTCTTCATGTATATTTACTCAAAAATTTTAAACTATTTTAATTTTTATATCTAATAGACGAATAATACTATATTAGAAATTCAAATGCCATTTACTATTAAAATAAAACCTCAAACATTTTATTAAATTCAAAATATGAGTTTCCATTTGAAAAACAAAGTTAACACCTTTACCATGCATAAGGGATGAACTTCAAAAGTATTATATAGCTAATAATTCAAGAATAATATGTAACTAAAGGGAACCAAAAAAAAATGTAAGTAATTGAGTGTGTTATAATAAAAAAAATCCCTCTGTATAGAATGGTGTCGTTTATTAGCGGGCGTGGTATGGCGCGGTGGTCATAGTAGTTGTTGATAAAATTCTAGTATTAAGCCGCGCCTACCGCCGTAGGTGAACGGATGGGTGACCATGCGTACGCTTCTACGGTGGCGAAAAAAAAGCACCATGTTCCCAGTGCAGAAGGCAAAGGGTTTCCCTAAATAACTAAATACGTCAATAAAAAGCATGACACATTCGAGATACCCAATCCCCGTTTGTGCAGTTCTTGGCATGTATAAGGGCTAAAGACGCTGTTTTCCACTCACTAACTTATCTTTTTCTCACATTACTGTTTCAGATTATTCCCTGAATACTCTAGTGTATTCTTTACGTGTGTCAACGTAGTCTTTAACTTAATTCAATCACACAATTTAAGACTTACATTTGTTAAAATAATCAAGTAATAACTAGAATTCAAAGTACTTGTATTTATTATGTGTTTGCGAATATTGCTTTTATCGTTCATTACTATTTGTACCACCCCCAGCTACTTTATTTTTAGTTATTATATTAGGAGATACCTTTTTCTTACTGTTACTCTCTCTTGAGTTCTTTTGTTGTTTTATTACAAATCTTTTTTCGGTGTGACTTCTGTAACGTAACAAAAATTTTTTATAAACCCATTTTTTAAATAAAATTTTCTTTGGTTTAGCCGAACGCGTGTTTCGACGGTGTTTATTATATATAGTGATAATAAAAATGATAAATGATAATAATCATGATAAAGTGTTGCGATTTGTTTGTGCGCGTGCGAGATGATTAGTTGTGTACTACTTCGAACCCATTCGTAGACGGCATTTACGTGTACACTCTTGAACGTCATTTGCTCTGCTCACCGACTACATTGACGTCTTTTAATAAATTTAAATTAATTCACGTTTATTTCTAAAACTTCCTATACTGGTTTTAATAATAATTGTCAACCCTACCTCTAAAAGAATCAGAATTTTTCAAACTATTTCCCGCCCTTAGTGGTCCTATAGTTTATTATGTACGCTGCACCATTTTTTTGTGCTTGTATTTATTTTTTCTCGTGTGATCGTTAAAATTACAATATAAATTTCATCTTTTTGTGGCGTCGACCGGTTCGATCGACACCGCTTCATTCTGTTTAAATTGTAGACGAGGTGATTTGCCTTGTATTAAACTAACTTTTTTATTTTATTTAATTAAGTCGTCTTATTTTAACTTGACCAAAAAGTCTTATTCTTGGATGCTCCATCTAATGAACTCACGTATTTTGTATGTCTTTTCCTTTAAAAATCATATTCCCCTAGTTTATAAAATACAGACATCGGCATTGTATAAAGTTATCCAATTTAATCATGATTATGTGACAACTTATCACGAGATAATTGATGTTCATCAACTATTAACGACTCATCAACATACATCGTTTACAGCTTTAATTGTTTCATAAATCTACAGTTATTTCATATTTAATGTTATGTCGTAACACAATAAGTGGGAAATGGAATGTAATGTGTACTAAGATGAAGATGAGGTGCCTGCTGTCTAGGTATTCACGTGCGTATTATCGTACAGGAGTCACCGTGCTCGGCTGACACTCCGGGTTAGCTGTGGGTATCGAAAGGCTGTTGTTATAGGAAGGGAATAAGGGTAACACCTAGGTATGAGGTGCAGACGAAGTGCAAGACAAAAAATGAGCGTACCAAGTAAGGAGTATAACAAAATACGAGGTGCAGACGAAATGCAAGACACAAGTACTTCAAAGAGAGAACGGGTAGTCGAGTATAAGGTGCAGACGAAGTGCAAGACACAAGTACTCTGAAGAGTACTTGTAGAAGAGAGTAGATAGGTTAAAAAGGAAAAAACAAAGACTTTACTTTAAGCAGTAAGCTGGACAGCGACAACCGAGTACTGAGACTGATGAATGACACAAAGCATTGGAGTCGACTGACCCAGATGGTTAGGTCTTTTGGGTTTTTATAATAATTTGAACTATTGTCAATTTGGCAATAAATATTATTTGTTAATTCATCAATCTCCGGAAGCGGATGTGCCGTCTGTATTTTATTATAATAATTCTCACAATAATGGTAACGTGACACCACCACAATTATTACGTCATAGTCAATTATAAAATAATTTTCTTTTACTTAGTATTTAGTAGTATCTTCTTAGTTCAATTATGACTCTAAAATTTACAAAAATATAATTTTTTTCTATTCTTATCATTTTTAAAATTATACATTTAACTTCAATGATTAATCTGTATATTTTATTACAAAAGTCCTTAAATGGTCCGACAACATATTATCTCATCCAGTAGATTAGCGATCCAATTTATTTTTATTTCCATAGCGCTGTGAAAATTACAAAAATTTGTGCGTTGTGGGAAAAAATTTATCATTTTCATTATTGTGTAACCTTTTATGCTTAAAAAGCAATTAGTGTTCTTAATATTTTTCCTAGCCAAAAGCATTTGCTTGATAATATATAACCATATTAACTAATTTATCACTGAAATTGGAGACATCTGAAAATATCAAAAAAAAAAAAAATTAAATAATACATCTCAAACTTATTAACAAATTTAAAAAAAACTGCTAATTTTACCATAAGAGAGGCACAAACGCCCTATATAACAGACCCTAAGTAAATGTAATTAAATTACTCAATCGCCAAAATTAAAAAAATATTGATGTGTGAAATTATATTTTTGCTCATAATTAATTTACTTAAAATGACAGTAATAAGAAATTAAAAGAAAAATATTGATGATTTTTTTTTTAAATTAATGAAAATTTTGTTTGAAAATAACTCTTTTATCACTAAAAAAACTATTAAAAATGCAAAAAAGAAATAGGTACAAAATAATAGTTTAACACATGAATCTTGTAAGCTAAATTCATAAAACCTTATAACTTTAACAAGAACAAGGAGGGTCCACCAGGAAGGCAAGCTAAAGGAAAATTCGGAAAATCATGGATATTGTATCTAATCTTAGTGGAGGAAAGGTTCTATGATTAACAGTGTTGAATTAATACAACAATTATTAAAATTTATTAAATGTTATACATTAATTTTGTAATAAATATAACAAGATAAAATGGAAAATTACAACCATATTAATAAAATAAAATATACAGAATTCAAAATAATAGGAGGAAAATATAGATATAATAAAAAAATCACAATGTAATGTTAAATAGATAAAGTTAAATAAAAAAAACTATATTAATAATTAAGTTATGGATAGAAGATTCATGACATGTCTGAGATTATAAATCTGACTGAAGAGTTATTTAAAAATTATGTAATTAAACAATATTAATATTCCATTTGTTTATAATATAATTTCGAGTGCTAATAATAATTAAATCCAGATAAATAAAGAATAGTTCAATGTGATTTATCACAATGATATAAAACAGGCTGTCAATAGACACGTATTGAAATGGCCTATGTGTTTCTAAAAAGAGCAATAACATATCATTAATACAGCGTCAAACAACTAATATTAAAGTTTTTATTATAACAATCAGCATGCATACAGAAATATTAACTAGATAAGAAAAACTATCTACTTAAATATACTAAAATTTCACTACCATACGCAGAATTAAAAGTAAATTTAAAGTACCAACAATACAGAATAAAAAATAAAATGGATGGAACATGATGAGTATGGCAGATCTGACGTCAATGGGTGTTGTCTACATAAATGCAAAGTCCAATGAGATGTTCATCATGTCCAACCTGACCGTATCTGAGGACTCACAAAAGAGGTAAGAAAATAAAATAATTTTAAATAGTATTGACCATTAAAGATAAAATGAAATATATGTAGCTAAAATATATATAGCTAAAATATATATAGTTGTTAAACTATTATTTACAAGCACACAACATGGTAAGATAACCCAAAAAAAAAAACATAATTACATAAAATATTAAATACACACACTGTGAAAGATACAAAATGATAAAATACCACATAATATCATTGTCGAGATGTCCAAGTCTAGATGATTAATATAATGGTGCCATAATGATGGCCAAAACATATGAAAATTTTCAATTCCATATTTGGTTTTTGTTTTGATAGACAGCAAAAAGGTTAACTAAGTTGGTGTGATCTTCTTTTCTTTTTTTTGAAACTTAACCACAGTCTCCCAAGCTGGCTTAATAACACATGAGATATGGTAGTGGACAGTGTAACCATAGTTTTGGTTGACCCCATAGAGATATAATGGTATTTATGATAAGGGAAACACAGGTGGTAGGACAATTCATTACATACTATATAAATCTGTATATATATATATATATGTGTGAAACACTGAACTTACAGATGTACAACGTTACTTATTGAATATATTTATCTGTGACCTTATACACACCTTAATTTTATTACGTTACAAACTATTAGCAAGTTTTGTTGCAAAAATACAATATAACATTTACAAATGAAAATTCATTGATTTGCAAACGTTTTTTTAATTTCCATAGGTGTATAACCAACCAACATTTTAACATCAGATTCAAATTTATACACATGTTTGCCTTTAGCTCTGTTGATAATACCTTTACCATAGTGATATCTTATGGATGAAGACATTTTTTTATAGTCCATCGTGATATTATTTTTTATTATACCCCATAAAATTGAGACAGTTTTAGGTTTGATAAGTCTGAAGTGTCCATTGTCATCAATCCATTCAATAATTTCTTGATAATCCTTATTAGATAATAAATGGAGAAAAAATTGCCATATCTCTACATTTGTTTTTAATTTTGAAATTAATTCAGTTTTTTCTTTCATTTTTTTTAATGATTTGATGTCAACTAATTCATCATTTTTAAGTTTTATGAACACACATTTCAATTTTCTTAATAAAGATATATGAATCCAAAAGTCATTATTAGGTGGTATATTTTTTACATCATTAGTATTCCAACAAAAAGTTTCACTAAATAATTGACTGCCGTTCACTTTAAATTTTGGTATATTAAAATTAATAAGACTGTATTGTTTTGCAATCCAATTTAACCAGATGGAAACCTCTTTCTAAAAACAAGTAAAATATATTATAAAAAATTACATATTTCTAAAATGATTTTAAATAAAATAATTTTACCAACAAATTTAATTGCATGACTTATGTAATCTCTATACCCTTTAAGACAGATGTGTATTTAGAAACATATACACAAAATAAAATCTGCATAAAATTTAATAAGCAAAAAACAAAAAAAATTTCTTTACATTTATTAATAGGTCTCCTATCTCACCCAGGTCTTTGAGGTGTCAGTCCACCTCTGACAGCAATCTTGTAAACTTTTTTTTATATTCAGAAAATATGTTTGAACATTAAAACATATATACATTAGAGTGTTCATTAAGTAATGAAACAGGTCAATGGTTGCAATAAGAACAATAAAAACCTGTTTCTTTACAATCTAAAAACCCTGTATATTCAAAATATATTATGGAACACGAGAAAAATATTCAAATTCTTTGAGATTATTTAAAAAAAATAATCTATTTAATATAAAATGAAATTTTATAAATACTCTTAACACTATAGTAAATCATTGGCATAAGTTTATGAAAAATTTGGGAGGGCTAAATTGATTTTTCCTAATTTTTTTTTTTGTATTCATATCATTTTCTTAACATTTTAGGGGGGCTCTCCCCACGATTTATGCCTATGTAATAAATTGAATATATATATTAACACAAGACCGGTATTGAAAAAAAAACTAAAATGACAATATGATAAAAATATATTTTATGCCAAAAAATAAAAATTAACATTAAAATAAATTAGATTTATAAATAATTAAATTTTAACATTAACTAAAATAATAGATATACTGGCATTTTCAAGAAAGTTTCCCAAATACTGCTTAATGATAAAACAATATTATCTAGATGAGCAATAATAAAAAACCAACATTTAAATGCATATAAACATTTTTTTTTCTTTAATATGGTTAGATTTACTATATTTATCCAATAGGTCAATATAGTTAAAGGTATTTAATCTATTTAAATATAAAATAAAAATACAAAAAAAAATATTCAGAAAATATACTTAATTACATATTTCTTTAAGAATTTAGAATACCGTAAAAATTCCTAAGAATATTAAATACTTTCATTCAAATATTTTATTACAAAACTGCCTGACAGAGTATATAAAATAAAATTTTACTCTTAAAACAATTTGTATATATATAATAACCCAACTCTTATTAAGATCATAATTTAGATAAGTTAAATAAAAAATATAGGGTTACAATAATAGAACAGTTTTATTTAGCTCAACATATTTGATTTCAAAAGTAAAAACTCTTAGTAAAAGTATTCATAATATTTTTTAAAATAGTAACACAACTACTGTACTTTATTACATTTACAACTGATTAGATATACACTGTAAATAAATTAAAATAATAATTTTATACATCCTACAAATAATACATACTTATTAAATATTTTATAAGCTACTTTTTAATTTATAATTATTTATATTTAACATTCTTCCTAAAAGCTATGGTTTGTGCCAGAGAGGACAAGACAACCTTATGGAGCACAGCATATGGCAATGAAAGCCTAGTACCAGCATTACTATTTCAGATAGATAGGCAGTCCAAAATGTAATATACATTTAATAAAATGATTATCATTACAACACAGATTAGCATAATATAAAACAAACAACTAATTAAATTGCTTACCACACTCCATTTAAAAGGATCTTTTGTAACATTAAACATTTGGAAATAATGTGCATCATTAACCCATTCAAAACCAAATTTGTCAAATACTTTAAGATTATCATAATTCACTTTGTCTAATCTTTGTTGTTCACTGATTATAATAACAGTTTCTGACCATTCTATAAAATTCATTGACAATTCACAAACTTAAAATATTAAAAGCCATACATCCAAATTTTATAGTAAATATTCATTTAATTGTTAATGTCCATCAATCACTTATACATCAATGCAGTGATTTCATTTCTATACATAACAATCAAAGTATGCAAGTTGTTCCTTCAAATCAATAAATAATTCACAATTAAACGTCAGTTTTAAGCATTTTTGTTCTTTACAAAAAAAAAAAATACCTAAATTATATTAATTATTGTACAAAATATATAAATTATATACAAATTTTTATATAATTTTTATATTTCCTACCTAAAATTATATTTTTCCATTATTAACAGAGCTAAAGAAAATTTATTATTTTAATATCCATCTTTCACTATCATTTATTATAAAAAACATTAAATTGATTTATAAAAAAATAAAACGTTGAGTACTTTGAAAACAAAGCTGTTTAAATAATTATAAGAACTAAGGAAAACGAACAATGATTATACGTAGAATAGAATAGTTACACAAGATTTCATTATTCGGCGGTAGAATTTCTTATCAAAATAACATAAAAAGCTTATGCACTACAGACACAGATATGATAAAACCAGATGGCACAATTTTTGATTTACTGCCAACTCTACCTGTCTCAAATCAGTGACAACACATATAAGAAATTAATTTATTGTACAGCACCTTTTACTATAATTATTGTATCAAATAATTGGTTGTATATGACAGTTAATGCATATTAATACAATGTTAATGCTATTAAAAATAGGTAAAATTTGAGTAGCTTCAATGTACTATTTATTGGTAAACTTTTTGAATTATCTTTAATCTACCTACATTAGTCTTTTTAAATATATTGCAGGTTAAATAATTCGATTTTATCTAATCTTCTGATGAATATGCTATATGAATATGAATATGCTAAATATGCTTATAATATTTACACTTCAATAAAAATTATCTCCTAGACACATTTTTTAAAATATTTTCCTGTGCTTTTTTTACTGCAATTTTTAATTATTTTTTAGTGAAAACAAATTACAAATTTAAGTAAACACCATTAATACTACATTAAGTCTATGATTTATTAAGTAGTAAATAATTTAAATAAAACTCAATTTAACCTAATTATGTAGCACATATTAGGTGCCTCGCAGGTAAATTAAAAAAGAAAAGGAGGGAAAAAACTTCTTTTGCTCTGTATACTGGACGTAAGCTCATTTATTAAAATTTTCTACATCTTCAAAAAAAAAAATTTGAATTTACGTTAATCGCCTTAAGTAGTAAAAAATAATAAAAATATTTGTCTATTTAAAAATATATATACATATATTATAAGGAACGAATGTATGAATGTGTTAAGTAACTTTTTTAAGACATAGTAATTAACTGATTGGATAAATTTAAAGTAAGAAAACAAAAATGAGTGATCTAATCTTTTTGAAAATAAGCATAATTTATACAAACACCACAACTATGTTTTTTTAAACACTTTTTCTTGAAATATACACAAAGATAAGTTAATGAATTTTGATCTGGTAGACATAAATAGAAGTACTTTGAATTTATTTATTGTTGAAAAAATAATATCTTGTAGGTCATAACCAGTACATGAAGTAGACACTAAAAAATATGTAATTGATTGCTTCCAATTTACATGTATTCTAAGCATTATGGTAATTTGTTGTATTAAACCCCTTTATTTAATCTCTTTTAATTCATTTAAATTAAACTTTAAGTAAAATAAAGTTAAATAAACTTTAATTCACATTTTTATTTCACTAATATAAATTAGTTTTTGAAGTCATTTCATCTGCGTAAAGTATACATTGTAATGCTTCAGGGATATAATTTTTAAGTCAATGATGCATAGTTGAAAAACAATAATTTCTCATAAAGAATTTTTTTTCCTATGAGTTTTTTCCTACTTATTTGTGGCAGGTTTTGATTTGTTTACATTTTTGAGAATTTTACATCTGAATAGAAAGTGCACTACCTGGGTTTATCTTATTTGTGCTAAAGCTATAGGTATTATAAATATGGATAGGATATCGCCTTATCAATGAGGAATAAATCATTTAAATGATAACAAATTAATGTAATTTGTTTACCTAATAATAATTATTAAAAAATCTTTAAGTTTAACTGTTTATACAAAATTATTGATTATAAATATAATACAATTAATTCTGACTCTAGCCTTAGAATTTTTAGATTTATTTTAGTTTTTGAGATAATTGCTAATTAGTAAATATCTGGTAATTATGTATTTAATTAAAGACTGACACGTTCTTTCTAGTTTCGGGGTTAATTTAAATATTATGTTTAATTTATTGATTTAAGAAGTAGGACATTTTAAAATATACATTTTGGTAAAATTAGACTTTTTATCTGTTAAAGGAAATTAATTTTATTATTTAGATGGTCAAAAATTATATACTGATCCCAATAATAAAAATTCCCAAAAAATTAATATTAATTATACAAGTAGATTACAAATTCTTAATTACTCACTCCTTATTTGGTTGTGCATACAATACATAAATTTAAAAAATAATGTATTTATTGTTGCTTTTAGCTTGGATGCGAAGCTGAGAAGGTATTAATTTTACCATAATGTGTTTTTTGTGTCTGTTGCCACTTTTTCTCAGCTCTTACTGGACCGATTTTAATAAACAATATGTCAAAAAATCACACATCGTATATAGTTGAAGACATTAAACTTAAAAATTGAAAAAATTTACATCGTTTGTAAATTTTTCCATGTAAATGGAAAATATTTTTAAAAAAATTACAATTTTTAAAATTGGTAAATTTTGTCATATTTTTCACTTTTTTCTTAAAGCTACCATAACTTTTTCAAAAATTAACAAATGAACTTGATTTTTTTTATATTGAAACCTTAGATATTTTCCTTTCCTTTCATTTTTTGAAAATCACTTAGCCTGCTCACTGAGGGGGATTTAAAATAGCAACTTTTTTATGAAAATTATTTTTTTTTACTTAACTTTCGAAATTGTTCCAGAAATACCGCATCCTTTAAATATATATCAAATTAAAACTTATGTTATGTACTATAAAATGGAAAAAAACAATTTGTCCCGACGACTTATTTTCTATGTGCAAATAGCTGCCGTAGTTAAAAACATGCTATTTTTGTGTTAACATTTTTGATTATCGATTATATATATTTACAAGTTTAAATTGCTATAATTTTTAGAAAAATGTATGTATCAACACAAATTTTTTTTTTTCTTAATACATAATATCTACCCCTTTCATCCGATATATTTGTTATTTAAATCGGGCAATTTCCCCTTATATTAAGGGCGTTCAAAACTTGAAACATACGTATAAAAAGTAGAACTTTTTCAACTTAACTTTTGAAAATGTTCCGGAAATACTGTGTTCTTTATACATATGTCAAATTAAAGCTTACAATATTACTATAAGTTCAAAAAAAAAAATTTGTCCCGACACCTTTTCTTCAATAGGAAAATGACCATATAATAATAATTTATAATAAATCATAAAACAAAAAATAAATGATTTTTAGTTTTACTTGAATTTAACAATGGATTTTTAAAATTATAATCAAATTTTATAATACGCTCAATTGAGTAGATTTTTTAAAAAACTTTTTTTTATTGGTTTTTTTAGTTAAAGTAAATCATTAAAATTAATAATTCAGTTCTACATATTTCAATTGTAGAATCTTTTTAAACACCAAAAGTTAATTAAAAATTATTACAATGATTTTTATTTAAGTGATCTATTTTGTAAAAATGCAAAAATATCAAGCTTTTGTGATAATTTTACTGTAAATAGTAATTATAAAATGTCCTGACTGCATATTAATCTTAAAAATCCCATATTTTTTATTTAATGATGTCAATTTTAAACTTGCAAGTTGAGCTAAAAGTTATGGTAATAAATACAATTTTTTTTTATTATAAACTTTCACTTCATAGGACAAAAATAAGTAGATTAAAAATGATTACATTTAACATATTAAAAATCAAAATCAATAATAATTTTAAAACAATTAATTATAAAAATTATATATTATATTTTTGAATCTAAGTATACTAATCTGGATATAATTAAGGAAATAGAAGTTAATGTTGCTTTTGTAATTATCTACCAATTTCTTAGAATTAAACACTATCTACAGAGTTGCATCAAAGCCTTTCTTATGATAGTGATTTTAATCACAATCAGATTAAATCAATTTTGGATCCAACTATGTCACAACCCCACTGTGCTGGTTTTTTTTTTTAATTAATTGAAAAATCTATTGCCAAAACATTGAAATTCAAATTTAATTTATGGCAACATATTGTTTATTAAGTAACAATTACGTAAAATATTATTTACAATAGTTTTAAGTCTTCATTTTTAACAATAAATTTAAGTACTTAAATGTATTATAATGTATAATATTTTTTACTTAACACATTAAAATATATACAATATTAAATTTGAATAATAACTGAATAAATAGAATAACCAAGCTGGTAGTACTAGTACCTTAAATGTAAGGATAGTAAAAATTTAAAGAATCAATGTCTAATTGAATACATTCCTCTGTATAGTGACCATGCATTAAACAATAATAGCATCTATAGATACAAAAAAATAACAAAATTAATTCAAATATTTATACTGTTAAATCATTTAATAAATGTCTCCAACTATTTCTACATCTTTCGCCCAATTTGCTTGTGAATCATCGACAACAAACTTGGCTTTTTGGGGAGATTTATAATATTTATAAGAACCAACAATATCTTTCTAAAAAAAAGACAATTTTAAAGGATTTTTTTGAATTCCCCAATATATATTACCAACTTCATGACTAAACTGCGAAACATGATTTTATCAATTATTTTTATGGAATACAAAATTCTATTTTTATATAGATTAAAAGAGAATTGTTTTATGTTTAATGCCCAATTATTACAAGAAATTTAAGATTTTTTATTTTGGTGTACGTATACTCCATCCGCCTTTATTTATGTATTAAAAACTTGACTAGTTCTTTTTAAATGTAGGTTATGTCATGTAAATGACAATAAAATAATATACCTACCTTATAAAATTTATAACATTTTCCATTTTTTGAAATAATTCTACCGGCTTCATTATTCATTCCAAAATAGCGTATAACACCTTCTTTGTGTTTATGCATTTCCATTAACACTGCTTTTTCAATAGCTATTACATCAAGTTCTGGCGTTCTATTTGGGTGATCCTTCTCATTTAAAATATAGTAAGTGCAAAGTTCATTCGCATCTTCGTGTAAATCCATACTTTCCACAGCAATCATGTCTTCACCATTATCTAATTTAGCAGCCAACAAACCTTCTATACCAGCCACTTTGAGCTCTGGGGTATAATTATTTTGGCAATCATCCTCGATTATAATATGAGAAGTGCAAAGTTTATTCGCATCATCATGTAAATCCATACTTTCCACAGCAATCTTGTCGTCACCACTCTCTTGTTTTACTGTAATCACACCACCTACTGCACTACATTTTCAACATCAATATCTTTAATTTGCGTTGTGGTACACCCAGAGAAAAACCTCGATCTATATAATAAATTCATTGTTCAATTTGATAAATATATCATTACTATTGAATCAATGATATATTTATCAATATGATATTTTTTTTTCTTGTCTTGAACAATAATTATTTATAAGAATAGTTATTTTGTTCGTATTAATAAAACATTATCATAAACCCTTGATAAAATTTCTCTTTCAATTTTGATTGAGGTTTTTCTTTGGGTGTACATTCCATGTTTTTAATATCTAGACGTACATCACCTGACATAATTTCTGATTAATATTTCAAATATTAATTAGATATTATTAATACTAAAAATATTAAATATTCCATTATTGTTATAGTCTAAACAATAATTACAAAATTATATATTATTGATAAAATGAATATAATATATCACTAAAATTCCTAAAGTGTATTTTTTGAGAGTTAATTGTTACAATAGTGACACTACGGGGAAAGCTCAATATATTATTATATTTACTAAGCAACTAGGCTTAAATAATGAAATCTAAGGCTAGATTTGACATAAGGTCAAACAATTAATTGAGACTTTGTTATAATGATTTCAAATTAAAATATTACGTAGAACAGTGCTATTAATATTAATAGTTGTACTTAAAAAATTTAATTATGGTATTTTAATGAAAATTTAATCATTTAAACTTGTATAATTTTTGTATATGAAAAATCGTAACAAGTACATTAAGTAATTGAAAAATTATGGTGGTAATTAATTAAGTAATAATACATTTTTCAAAGTTTTACTGCAGAAACGAAATATTTTTTATTTTCTATGTTATAGTATTTTTTCTTTTAGTAACATTCCTATAGTAACTATATAAAATAGGTATCCTATAAGTCCTTTTTTGAGTTACTGTCCAAAAACATTAATATCACACTATTTGAAGGATACCAAGAGAGAGGATAGGGGTTCTGACACCCCATTTGAAAATAAATAACATCTTTTAGGTACATTTTAATTTTTATTGGAGGGGTTACCAAAATATTGTTGCTTGTTTGTTTCCTGTTTCAAAATGATCAAATAAGCGTCGTTGTTCGTCAGAGCTAAAAGTACAGATGTATTTTCAGATCATGAACTTTAAGTTCATGTAGATTTCACATTACTATGACAGACAATGAGTGAAACAATAGTTTTAACTAACCAGATGTCTTAACATTTGTTAAATCATATGTTTTAAGTTATTAAAATATATAACTCATTAAGTTATATATTTTACGACGTTACTTTTATCTATAAAAATAGAATTATTTTTAATTTTCAAGTTGGAATAAATTATTAACGAAATATTTCATCGATACGTTAAACGTGTACATATAATTAGTTAAATTGAAAAAGAATAAACTCTATAAGTCCCTAAAATGTTTCCTTGAATTTTAAAGTTATAAAATCTAAATATTTTGACTACAATATAACTCGCGTACTAAAAAAATGTAATTTTATGATAACCTGACATCAAAAGGTGTCATTTATAAAATTGATTTATGTAAAATATAGATGAAGGTATGAAGTCAATATATTAAACAAACTAATGTTAGATACATCGTCTCATTAATGCAATCATCTACAAAAACATTAACAGCACTTATCTCCTATAATTCATTGTTAAGTCTACAGTCTTAAATTCGTCTTAGGCAATAGTCAATCGATATTTACAATTGTAAATATAATATTTCACAGAAAATTGTTTTTTTTTTCAGCTTAATTATAAAAGGTATTATTCATCCCGTTATGCAACATCAAATTTTAGTATAGTAAATTATTTATTATGTTTAAGTAAATTTTTATCTTTTTGCATTTTTCAATATACTTTTTTGTATATATTTTAATATTATTCGTTAAAAAAATATCTGAGCTGGATTGCACTAAGATACATTACCACTTGTATTATGCTTCTTATTCTTCGAAACACAGCATTTAAATAATGTTGCTAATCGACGAAAAAAACTCTTCACCTTCATCGTAATAATGTTATATACAACAAAATTAATGTATCAAAATATTTCTTACAGAATTTTTAATGNAACAAAATTAATGTATCAAAATATTTCTTACAGAATTTTCAGTAATTCAATACAAGCACAAAAAATAGTTTTTCTTAATTAAAAGCAGTGCTCGAATTGGGGGGGTGCGCAGGGGGACGTAGCTCCTCTACTTTTTTTTAAATTTTTTTGCGCACCCCAACTACTTTTTTTATGAGGACGGTGGAAAATACCATCTCTTTTTTTAAATATTAGTATGATAATGAAATATAATTTATTAATAAATACTAAATAAAGTAATGAGTTAAAAAAAAAAAAAAGGTCTTCAAAATGCTAGGGACGCAGTTTTCAAATTGTTAAGTTGAGCTCCCCTACTTATTTTTGGCCAATTCGAGCACTGATTAAAAGTAAACAACAAACTAATTTATATTTGATCATAAACATCTGTGTATCAATATTAAGTATCGAGTAGCAACTTAATTTTACTATTCTTATGATTAGAATACACTTGTTTTGTACGAGGCAGCTAGACCGTAGGACGGCACCACACTCGAATGCCGTTTTACCTTAAGCCTATTTAAATCGCTATTACTGAAGCGGGAATGGGTCACTTGTGGGATGACGGCTAACTGTTCATCCAATAAGTAACGAGAGTAGACAATAAATTAAATATCAAATAACCACATGTATTAGAAATTCTTCAGAGAGTATCTTAAATTTAAGGGGTAACGGGGGGCCCTTAAATACTAATGGCCGGCGAAACGGCATAAAACAAAATAGTTAATCTCAATTAAAACAAACAATAAACAAATAAAATCACTATCTACAGATTTTTAATTGCTATAATAAATATTTATTCGTATATTATACTTTTAAATCAAAAAACTACTAATCAGGAGTAATAAAGGAAATAGGAATTCATTTTGTTTTTGGTATAATCCACCAATTTTTAAAAATTAAACATTATCTACAGATTTGCATCGAAGCGTTTTTTATGATAGTGATTTAAATCACTGTCAGATTAAAAATATACTGGACTCAACTATGCCACGTCCCCACTGTGCTGAGTTTTTTTTTATATAAAAATAAAAATTGAAAACACGATGTCCGCTTTATTGGTTTTATGCCTATACAAGACAGTATCGTAGGTAATGCTAAAATGAGACCAGTATACAGTATATAAAATGTAAAATAATGGTGTTTATAGATATTTTCGTTGTGCACAAACAAACCTTACCCAAAAAAGATTAAAAGAAGCAACTTTTGTATGAAAAGTTTTGGAAATGTTTTGCAAAACCAAACACCTTAAAATATATCTTTAATGAAAACTTATGTAATATAGATATAAAAACATATTTTGAAAATCTAACCATATATCTACAAAAAACAGCGGGTTTTATATAGTAATTTGTACATATCAATAAAACTTTTTCTCTTTTAAATGTTTGAAAAAATTCTACAAAATTAAATGTATTTTAAATAAAAGTTTATGTATACTTAATTAAAAAAAAACTTTAACCTTTAATTCTTGAACTTTTTGTTTTACTCGAATACATAGTTGGATCACATAATATATTTGTAATTTGCTAAAAGCAAACTCCAAAAACGAATGATGTTACGTGAAAAAATATTATTTCAATTTTGAGGACAGGTTATATAATGGAAATATTAAAAATTTAGAAAATAATAATCATTGAAAATTCGTTACTCTTATATTTGAATAAATTCCATTCTTCTCATAATATATAAATAAACACCTGTATTTTAAAATAATAAAAATTTCCTAAATTCTTGAAATAGCTCATATTTAACTTGATTGTTTAATAAAACTACATTAATGTTAGTTTAGAAGTATTTACTCAGGAACAAAACAAATAAATTATCAAATAACTTTTTTATTTTTTACAGAACTAATATTATTATATTCGTGACATGCAATACAATTAAACAGATTAAATGACTAATAAAGTCATTTGTTTTCTACAAAACAAAAATATTGAATCACTATTGAAAATGAAAATTTATTTTTCGCAGTTGTGTTAAGTTAAAAAATTAATATAAAAAATAACTTTTAATTTATTATAAAACTTTTTAATCATTTATTAGGAGTTTTTGTCGCGATTGAGTTAGATTTATAATATATTTGAACCTAAAATAAACTTATTTATAAGTATTTTTAACTTAACAAACAAATTTGAAGAAACGAAATTTTAGAAAAATAATTAAGTGCACGAAAAGTATCATAACTTTTACATTTTTATTAATATGTATAATTAAAATATATGTATATACAGAACAAAATTATTTTTAATAGTGTATGAGATGTGTTAAAAATCCTATAACAGTAAGTGCAATCACATTTTATCATAGTCATCACCTCGTGACTTTACCATTGACCACCAATTGCCAAAATGTGTTTTCTATGTAATGGTTAATTATGATATTTCGTGATGCATATCATCATAAAACTTTTTTGCACTATATTCCGTTTTAGGTAATACTAAAAATAATGAATATCTGATTTATATAGTTCATAATTATGTAACAAAAAATTAGCCGTACATAAGGCTAAGGATGGGAACAAGAGATAATTTCATTCAAGAACTAAAGGTAGAACTGAGTAAACGCCATTAAACTATAAATATCTCTAAAAAAAAAACTAGAAAATTAAATTTTATACATAAGATTATTTTACTAAAATATACTTTTTTGTACTTCTTTTAGGGAAAAAGTAAAGTGAAAAAATATCATTAATTTTTGGAATACTGTTTTTTTTTTTTATTAAATATACAGTGTAATAATACTTTTGCCGTATATTCTTTTTATAATTTTACTCAATGAACTATCAAAGCATTTGCTAAGTAAAGAAATCGAAATACACAAAAATAAAAACATTAAATTTATCATTACCTCCTGTATAACAAAAAAATGATTTGTTCATTAAACCCTAAAATGTTAAAAATATTTAAATTGTGTTGATAATATA